GTGGTAACCCACCCATATAGCATTACAAAAATTGCTATATCTCCTCGCAGAGTTGGAATTTCTCAGCAACCTTTTCATTTTTAGAAAGCAGAGATTCTGCTCGATTGAATGATGTACAAACATCAATATGTTTACGGGCAAACTTGAGAAGACGGTAGGCTTGAATGTAGCAAACCCATATTTCAATAGTAATGCATAATATGCTTTGATCTATAGTGATCAAATGCATATCAATGAGCACCTCAGCGCTAGTTGAGATAGCTACCTCAGCGCTAGTTGAGATAGCTTCAATAAAATAGCTATAGTGATCAAATGCATATCAATGAGCACCTCAGCGCTAGGTGAGATAGTTTTAATAAAATAACTATATCTTCTCAACTAAGCAAAATCGTCCAACAAAATATATGTTTTTCTGAATGGAGAGACTCTGCTCGTTCGATTGGTGTGAAGAAAAAAATATATATTTTTCTGAATGCAGAGATTCTGCTCGATCGATTGGTGTGAAGAAATTGATATGTTACTGGTCAAAGCTGAGAGTACGGTAGGCTTGAATGTGCTAACTAACCCCTATAGCATCAGAAAAATAGCTATATGTCCTCACAGAGGCGGAATTTTCCGGTGAACTTTTTATTTTGAGAAAGCAGAGATTCTGCTCAATAGAATGATGCACAACCGTCAATATGTTTCCGTGCAAACTTGAGAATATGGTAGCTTGAAATTGGCAAGCTCTATAATGCTATATTAATGTATGCAGTGGTCTATAGTGATGCGTTGTATAATGAATGAGAGGGATCCTTCAAATGAGAGCTCCTCCGATCCTTTAAATTCAGTATATCATATATTTTTGTCCGAGTGATTCTTCTTACTTGAGGAGATAGATACCGCCATTTTTTAAAATCTATCTCAAATAACGTAGTCAGGCTCATTCATATTGTTTAGCGATTCACAATGCAAGAATCGTTTCGGATCTCACCGTCGATTTATTGCAACACCACAAAATTATACCCTTATCAACCACATTGATGCAGTGCTTTCTAGTGATCAAATTTGACAACGTACGTTCTATGCATTCATTGAGCAGTTGTTCATGAAGCATGTCAATAATGATGTCATGCTTCAGCAGTGGTTTGCGAGTTCAATATCAGCATCACTCCAAGTGGTGCATACATTGGTCAAACGTATCACTGCCGAATGATCGATGTAGTTGGTCAAGCAGTGCAGTGTGTGCTTCACTAGTAATTCATGATCTCTAATCAATGCAACAACTTCTAACAACTCTGACCTACTGCCTGTTACTCTAATCATTCTCGTGCACTCTCGTCACTGATGCTTCCGTCACTTGTTCAGTTCGGGAATGTTGTTCTAACTGTAAGCTGATGACGGTAACGCCCACATAACGTGTGGCGTTTAACGCCCACAACACCTGTAAATTTTACTCACACCTCGACAAGCTTTTGTTAGCATCCTTCTGAATGTATGTTACGTGGGCGAGACTGTCCATCGCAATGATGATACATGCTTCAATGAATTCTACAATCGTTTCGCTCCTTCATTTCACTCATTTTTTATCCGCGCTATAATCGAGTACACCATGTCAAACGTTCTCATTTCAACGTGCGGTTTGCGTTAAATTTGCATCATTGTCAAAAAAAATTTGCAACCCATGTCAAACATTAGATTTGCAAATTTTTGAAGTCGTTCGAAATGATTGTAATATCTTTCATTATCGGAATCAATTTATTAAATTTCAATAATTGCGATTTGGCACTAACCACGCCACCAAATTAAAATAAATTTTGGAATATCGCTTTCGGCGCTCAATTTTTTTAGTGGTGTATCATTTCCTTTTTCAATATCATTTCCTCTGATATTCACACATTAAAATTCTGATGAATGTTTTCATTCGAATGATATGATGTTTTGTTCGAATCCTGGTTTATTGAAATTTTTTGGTTGCATCACAGAACTGTTTTATTCTATCCTTGTGATATTCCGATAATAAACAAAACCTTTCGTCTTATCGTTCGATCTTCAGGTCTACCACCACCACCACCACCACCACCAACAACAACAACAGCAACAACAACAACAACAACACATATCATGCCGTTCACATTTATTCATTTATTGAATTTCGTTTTGAGTTTCATTTCACTGATTGACAATGTGAATTGTGTGTTATTCTCCTCTACTTCTGGCATATCCTCGTATTAATGATATAGATAATGATGTCTTCTCCATTCTAGTATTGCAATACTTTGATAGTTTCTGCACAATTCCCGTAGCACTGCGTGTTATTGTCGAATTCCCGAAATTCTGACAATCAGATATGCCAAAAGTTTGAAGCTGAAAGTTTTCAAAAATATATTCTCGGAAATTCTAAAAAACAAATTTTGACGTCGAAAATTTTAATGGTGAATTGAAATTGCACTTGGTGAATTGAATGAATTGAAATCAGCATAAATTTTGATGGTATATTGAAAATACATTTTTTGCTGTAAACAGTCGAGTTGAACATGCGAGCAATGCGTTGATGCGAATACCTTTCAAATGCATCCTAAACGTATTCTTCCTTAATATCTTCGTCTTTTGGCAAGTCTTTTGAACACTCGCTAGCAACGAGCGATTTATTTAATCCATTGAAATGCACTACGAAATAATTGAGCAGCGGCGCTTTACCTTTGGAGGTGTTGAATCCAATGAATCTATGCACGATCTTTCAGTGAAAAGACAAAACATCGCAATAATATTCTGCAAAACGCTTAAGATAGACTAACATGTTCTTGTGTTTCAGAAATCATTGAAGCCACTCAGACTGTCCAATTTATTGCATTATTGGTCTTCTAACTTGCTATATCTCAAGATTGCATTCAGTAAATGCAGTGAGCATTTACTGAATACAATCTTGGCTTTTGCAGAGGTGATTTTTGTGCCACTCTATGAGAAAAGAATGAGACAATTACAAATTGAACTGATCACGAGCACTCAACACTCATTATGCTTCAAACAAGCCTACTCGATGATTGCGCATCATTTTCAACGATTCCATTTCAATGATTCAACTCACATCTTGCGATTTTCATATTGCTTGAGAAATCAAAACATTTTTCACCTGAGACGTGTACTGTGGATTAAACTTCTTGAGATTCGTATTCTATTTTTGGAATTCAGTTACTTCTATGGAACATCGTCTCACTCTATGATGCATTCGAATCTAAAAGGAATGAATTCAGTGCTGATAAATGAATTCGCATGTTTCTGGACATACCTGAGCAGACGGTTAGCTTGAAGATCGCAATCCGCCTTTTACTAATATGAACGCATTGATTGCTCTATAGTGATCAATTTGTATGAATGAGCGCGACTGCGCTATCGAATTGAGATAGATCTAAGTAAATGGCTATAGCTCCTCAGAAAAGCAAAATCGCTGAACAAAATACATGTTAATCTGAATGAGGAGATCCAGCTGGATCGACTGTTGCAAAAAAATTCATATGTTAGCAGGCAAACTTGAGAAGACGGTAGCCTTTAAGTTGGCACCCGAGATGTTATTAATAAAATGCCTATATCTCCTCAACAAGGCCAAATTGCTTGGTAAAGTTTTAAATATTCTGAATCTAGAGGTTGTGCTGGATCGAACGTGAAAAGAAGTTCGCATGTTTCCGGGCAATCCTGAGAAGACAGTTAGCTCGTAGATCGCAATCCGCCTATTGCTAATATTGAGCAGTAGATGGAACTGGTAGCATGTTTGTTGAGATCTGAGCAGTGAACGAATTTCCAACAGGAGGGTATTGAAAATTGAAGCATAGGTCCCTAACGTTCAACCTTATCTGCCCTTCTCCACATTTACAATCCTGAAGTAATGATTAGGAATGTGGAGAAGAGCATATATGATTGTATAAGTCCGATATTATCTTTCGATCAAGGAGTAACTGTTCAACGTTAAGAGCCATGCTAAGAAAACTTTTTTCGAAATGAATAAACGATCCGTCAGGAAGGAACACTTTTTCTGTACGGACAATGGCATTGCTACTATGCAGTTAGGAGGATGTTTTAACTACATTATGAAAGTAATAAAGGAATAATAAATGACATGGATTGTGAAAGATTTATAATGAATAATGATGAATAATAAAATCATATGTTCTATTACATGGAGACTATCAACGAAATAAAACGTTTCGGCTATAGGAGGGGGCACCGGTTCTTCGTTTGTCTGACTGCTCGCTCATTAACCGCGAATCAATTACCAGTGGCCAACAAGCGAACAGTCTAAAACACGAAGAACACCTGAAATTAATTATGCGATGAAGTAATCGGCTAACGCACGCCGATCTTAACTTCCGGACATTCCAAACGGCACAAAAAACTTCGCAAACTTTGAGCAGTTACTCGCAAACAAGGGTAACTGAAATAACCCCACAAAAAATGTCATCTCTTCATGATAAGTTCCTACTGATCAAATGCTTTCCACTTACAAATGAAATGACTTGGAAGAGATCTGAATTAATTTTGTGACGACGCATATAAGTGTCTTACAACTTCTGGACGGCAGAACAAACTCCGAAAAGGCTCAGACATGCAGAAGTAAAATGAGACAAGAGGATAAAGCAAAAGATAGAGATAGACTATAAGTATCATTGAATTCCTTCTTTCGGTTCAAAAATGAAATTTCAACGAAAGAAAATATTTCGGTTATGG